GAATTCTACCATTTCTTCCAAGGAAAGAAATGATTAATATTCCCAGTTCATTTGGAACATGCGACCTCCTGTCCCAAACCTGCCCACTTGCATTGATCTAAACAGCATATTTGAACCCTCAAACTATTTTTCACCAAAAAAAAAAAATATGAGCTTGTCAAGAGCTTTTCAATCAACAACAAAAAACAGGATCCCTTCTGATTATCCATCCTTCTAAACAACACTGTCTCAGGAGAGACTCATTTTCAGCATGCCAAAAGCACACTGCTTGCAGGTGTTGGATTTTATTTTTTTTATTTTTTAAGACAGCTTAAATGAAAAAGTTGTAAAATTGATTTTTCTAAAGTATAACTATGGAGAAAAATTGTCAGCTTATGGATTTTTATATTGTTTTCCTGAAACTCCTGGACATTTTTCAGATTTCTTCTTGTAATTCAATGTGGATCTGTTTTGAGAAATGATCAGGAAAACAGCAGGAAGAAGCTGAGTTATTAGCAGTGTTAATATTTTTATAAGCTAAGAAAAAATATCTGGAGGAAATATTTGGGAAAACAGAAAAGCAACAAGTCTTGTTTGGATTCCAGCACAATGCCAGTGTGAAATCTTTCCTCCCCATCATCTATTCTGTTGCTAAATGATCTCCAGACTGAACAAAGCAGAAGAAAATTGGAGAGAGATGATGCAGACTTTGGTCCAGTTGGTCCCAATTATCACACCAGTGGCCTCGAGATGGTGATATTAGAATCACAGAATCATAAAATCATTAAGGTTAGAAAAGACCATTGAGATCATCTAGTCCAACCATCATCCCATCACATTAATGGTAAAGGTGCCACGTGGCTGTGCAGACCAGAGTAGAGACAGCAGGGCAATGGAAGAAGGAACTGATGTGGGAATGGTCTCTACAAATCATCACTCACAAAGAAATTTACAGGGAGGGAATGATGACAGATTTCTTACTCTTTTAGAGGATGATGAAGAGGTGGAGAAGATGGGACAAGGGGGAATGGTCTTAAACTGTGACAGGGGAGGTTTAGGTTAGATATTAGGAGGAAGTTTTTCACTCAGTGGTGAGGCACTGGAACAGGTTGCCCAAGGAGGCTGTGGATGCCCCATCCCTGCAGGCATTCAAGGCCAGGCTGGATGTGGCTCTGGGCAGCCTGGTCTGCTGGTTGGTGACCCTGCACATAGCAGGGGGTTGGAACTGGATGAGCATTGTGGTCCTTTTCAACCCAGGCCATTCTATGATTCTATGATTCTTTGATTCTATGATTCTTTGATTCTATGATTCTATGATTCTATGATTCTATGATTCTGTGTCACCATAGTCTATAATAATCACAACAGATTCATTTGCACTGCTTGGGGGACTCAGATGCTTTCTGAAGGTTGAGTCCCATCAGTTCTGTATATGGCTCAGTTCTATGGGTGAATATACAAAAGCACTGAAAGATTTCAGATGCAGTGAGATGTGGCAAAGATGGTTATTTTTTTTACGTTAGTAGGACAGCTGATGTATTCCCAGATTGCCCAACTGATATTGCAGCAGTCCAGAAGGGTCCTAACAGCACAGTGCCTTCAACCTTCTGCTTTTCTGGGAAGATTAGGAAGAATTAAAGTACCCAAAAATAAATTACTGTGTATTCTGTTTTCCAGAAAGCATCCGTTTTCCTTTGAATGAGTTCATTGTGTGGAAATACATATGGGTATTTTTACAGTATGGGGAAGGAGCATCACCAGGTACTTAGAATCAGAATTGTTTTAGTGGGAAGGGACCCTTAAAGTCCATCTGGTCCAACCACCCTGCAATGAACAGGGACACCTGCAGCTCCATCAGGTGCTCAGAGCCCCATCCAGCCTGACCTTGGTATCTCCATGGACGGGGCTTCCACCATCTCTGGGCAACCTCTGCCAGTGCCTGATCACTCTTACTGTAAAATACTTCTCCAGAAGAATTCTTTCTGAGCAAAATCTTGCAGCACAATTTTGAATTAATCTGCTTACAAATGAAGGCTGAACTTTGCAAGTTGTTCTGAACCCATTAGAGAAGTGGAAGGACTTGGAGTATTTCAGAGCATGGCATTCAGATGATTCTTTTTCTCTCCTCAACAGTTTACCCATAGTTTTCATTTTTAAACCAACCCAAGTTTATTTTGTAAAAAGGATTTATTTTATTTTAGGTAACAGCACTTTGAGGGCTAAATGAAATCCTTATTTATTTTCTCCTCTGCAGGAAGAACTCAGAAGAAATAACCCTTTGTCCTCATCCTAATTTTGTAGGGCTTTTTTTTTTTTTTCCCCTCTTTTTCTTTCGATGTTTATACAGAACTAAAAAAAATAAACTTTTTCATGGTGTAAGTTATCCTGCAAAATAATTAGCCAAAGGACAGGGCTTACATAGCTTTCATGAATAGGAAAACCTGGTACTGTTCTTCCGCCTTCTCTCATATGCACTGAACTTCTTCCTCCTTTTCATCACACCGATGCCAAGGAATGTCAGCTGCTCTGCCCCCACTCTCAGTTAATGCTTCAAATGATAGGCAGTGATTAGGCTGATCCTTTTCATCAACACTAAATTAAAGATGAAGAATTGGGCTGTTAAATGATGAGCTTTTCTCTTGTTTTTCATGTCCTGAAATATCAGCAAACTGAATTGATTGCTGTCAGCTCCGACCCTGGAGGGCACTGCACCAGCCAAAGGTTTTTAAAGCAATCCTGGATTCTTATTTAATCTTGTGAGAGCACATGCATCATAAAGGATAAATTACAGTTGGGCTGAAAGACTGCGAAAGCATTAGCTTTGATATTGAAGAAACATGCTGAGATCTTGGCTGTGCTTATCGTTTCTTTGCTATTGGAGCTCTTTTGCAGATAAGAGCAGGCTGTTCTATTTTATTTTGATTTTCATGCAATTTCTCCCTGTCAGACACTTTGTATGCTGATGATAAACTTCTTTTTTTTGAGGGCTGCTATTAGTATGGAGTCCAGGGCCTGCTCTGAAAGTGGAGATGGGTCAGATTCACCACTGCTAGCTTTCCATCTCAAATATGCTGCTGTAGCTGGATCTTAACCAACGGGTGCAGTTAATGCAGCCCAATGCAAAGGGGTGTGCAAGCACTAGGTTGGATTTGGTTGTGTAATCATAGAATCACCAAGGTTGGAAAAGACCTCTAAGATCATCCAGTCCAACCATCCAGCTATCACCAATATCTCCCCACTAAACCATGTTCCTCAGTACAACAACTAAACGTTTCTTGAACACCTTCAGGAATGGTGACTCCACCACCTCCATGGGTAGCCTGTGCCAGAGCCCATTGTGATAGGACAAGGGGAAATGGTTTCAAACTGAAAGAGGAGAGATTTAGTCTGGATACAAGGACAAAGTTTTTTTTATGGTAAGGGTAGTGAGGCACTGGCACTGGTTTCCCAGAGGTTGTGAACACCCCATGTTCCAGGAGATGTCCAAGTCAGGCTGGATGGGGCTCTGAGCACCTGATGGAGCTCACTGTTCACTGTTTATTGCAGGGGGGTTGGATCACATAGCCCTTAAATGTCACTTCCAATTCAAACAATTCTGTGATTCCATGAATTTTCAAGTTCCTGCAAACTGCAAGATGAGAATCAAAGTATTTTAAATACATACTTACGTACCTGTAAGTTTTTGGAAAAGGAAACTTAAAAGATGCTAAAGGACATTTTTCTTGATTTGTGTCCCTGTTTTTCCTTGCACTAAGTACTAATCATAGATCTCTGCAAGCAAACCACACACAGGGAAGAGGGAGTCCTGTGTAGAGGTGACCTTCCCAAGGGGAGGCAGGGTTTCTCTGTCAGGGGTATTTTAGCTTTCTTCAGTGTATGAAAAGGGAGGAACAAGGATGATTTAAAGAAAAATCCATCAGGAACCATCCCACCATTCCACTCCAAAAAAGTTAGGAGTTTGTACAACAGACTGAGATAAACAGCTCCCACAATATTCTTCTCCTGCCCACTCTCTTTCTGCTCAATTTAGTGAAAATTGGTGACTGAGCAAAAATGCAGAAATCCAAAATAGTGAGTAAGCAAGGAGAGAAGCTGGGGAAACTCAATCATTGTAAGCTGTGCTTGGCTACAGGCAGCAGCTGGTCAATCAGCATGTGTTCACTGCCAGGCAATTAGCATGGGCAGAGCTCCAAATCAATCAGTGCATGGTCTGCATCTTGCCCCGTGATTACATCACTGGGAAGGAGGGGGAGAAGGAAGCTAGAACAAGCGAAGTCATAGAAAAAACAGTGTCAGATGAGAGAGGAGACAGATTCCATCACTTTACTGCTTCTGTAACAAGATAATAAAATATTCTGTATCTACTGTAAAAAATATTGCCATGGGACCTCCCTACAGATTGTTGCTGGTCTTAGCATGACGTAAAAATGAACTCAGAATTAGGTAAGCGAGCACATCTCAAAAAGCAGCAAAACATTGTGGTGTACCATAGCACTGGCTGATGTAAATAATAAGTAAAAATGATAGCTGAATTTGGCCTGATGGTGTCTAGGCATGAAATCACAATCTAAGCTGGGTGTTACGTGCCTTTCAGGGAGGCCTGAACTGATTGTTATGAGCCTCACAATGATGTAGCCACAGCAATTTAGCTCCTTGGTACAGGATTTTTCCAAGAGAAGTTGTGGATGCCACATCCCTTAAGGTTTTCAAGGCTGGGTTGGATGGGACCCTGAGCAGCCTCAGCTGGTGCCTGATTTAGTGGGTGGCATCTCTGCCTGCAAGAGGGAGGCTGGAACTGGATGATCTTTGAGGTCCCTTCCAACCCAAGCCATTCTATGATTCTGCCTGCCTGTTGTCCCACTGCTGAACACATCCTAAAACTAAACCTTCTGAAGCTCAATGCTAAAAGGAAAATGGCAGTGATACCCGAGATCAGGTCCTGGACAACAGTGTCACCTACTGTTCCGTGGGTAATCCTTTCAAAATGGTGACTGCTGTTCATGTTTGTGTCTCTTCCACAGATGGCTTTTGTCTTCCTGAGTGGGATGGTATTGTCTGCTGGCCAGAAGGTGTGCCGGGCAAAGTGGTGGCTATGCCATGTCCTGAATACATCTATGACTTCAATCACAAAGGTAGGTACTGTCCCCATGGTCAGCAGTGCCACAGCAATGAGAGACCTGGGGGTGATGGAATTAGAAATCACCTTTTAGAATTTCTTGCGTGGTGACTCTTATCCAAGCAAGGGTAAATAGAAATAGAATAGAATAGAAATAGAATAGAAATAGAATAGAGAGAGAGAGAAAAGCTCCATTTTAACATACATTTCCCACCTGCACAATGGGTTGTAACTACAACTAGGTAGTCTTGCAGCGTTACAAACCCACGTTTGTTTGCTGAAACAAACTTCAGGTAGAGATAGAAATCTACAAGATATCCTCCTGATTTATATTCTTCACAAGTTTGTTCTTTCTAACCCCTACTCTCTGCCCAGACCCCTATGGTGACTATCTGAGAACAGTGTTGGTAACCAGAACACGTGAATTCCTCCCTATCACACTTTCCCTCAGGCACTGCATTTCTTGGCTCACTTCTGGTGCCGCAAAGTCTGTGCATGTTTTTAGAAGCAACTGAAGCACACTCACCCCTCAGTGTATTTCCTAAGCGAACGCATTCTCTTTTTTCAGGCAAAGCTCTGCACCCAAAGCCTGCAAAATTAAAGAATTAAGATAAATTCCCAGCAGAGCCCTGCTCCTGTTTTCAGAAAATAAGTAATTCCATTTTGGTGCGCTCTGGTTGCATGTAGTATGTCCTGCCTTTTCTATAAGAAACTGTGAGCCAAGCCAGCCCAAGTCTTGAGAGATGACCTTTTCCAAAGACGTACATTTCAGGTTAGGGTCTGGAAGGAACAAGTGACCCATCCCTTTTTCTTCCATAAGCCAACAGAGCACAGATTCTCCACCTCTTAAATATCCACTGGTGAAGCCACCTAGGGCAGTGAGCATCTTAGAAGATGTGTCTACAAAGTCTCCCTCTGCAGTCCCTGGACACGTAGATCTCTCAACTGGTCTCATCCTCATTAACTATAATGGGACTTTTTACACACAACCCATGCAATCGTATCCCCACACAACTATCTGAACAAGAATGTTTTCATCTGTGAGCTGTCACAATATGAAACCATGCCTTCTCCTCCCTTTCCATCATCATGAGCAGGGTAGCCGTGGAAAACTCCACCTTGAGATACAACAAATCTGTAAAGGAGCAGCAACAGAATGAAGATTGCTGTGCTGGTTTGTTTGTTTTTTTTTTTCATAAAGAGAGCTGCAACTATGAGAATGATACTGTGCTTTGGAACTTTACACTTTCTTTAGATTTTAGAGCCACTATTTTGATCTAAACTAAGTGCAACTTAGGGTGTATCAGAAAACTAGTAAGATTGCTAAGGGGATAGAAATTGTGTTCTTGTGGCTGAGCTTCAAAGCAGACAAGAGACATCGAGTTCTTTGGGATCCATCCTTGAACTGAACAGGAGGTTTCTCCTGTTCTATCAGGTCTAGCTCCATTTATACTGCCCTCTTGTTTCTCTCCTGCAGGCCATGCTTATCGCCGGTGTGACCTGAATGGAAGCTGGGAGCTGGTTCCAGGCAACAACCGCACCTGGGCAAACTACAGTGAATGTGCCAAGTTCCTCACCAACGAGACAAGGGAGAGGGTAGGCAATTACATTTGTGCATGGGGCATGAAGTGTTGGAGGAGTGCTGTCTCATTGCAAACCCTTGATGAGCTTTAGCTTATTGCCTTCTGTTGGAAACCACACCCAAGCTTGCCAAAGGTGCATGTTTGTTTGGATAGGAAGTATTTGAATGGGAAATTGTTCTCAAAGCCAGGAAGGGTTCACTCATTTGACATGACTCCATTTGTAAAGAGATTTGGGGGAAATATGGAGCCGGTTCACAGACACTAAGAAGGGATTGGAAGTCATGCCTCATGTCATTGAGGCTCCATCTACCCCACTAAACAATAATTTTGTTACTAGATTATTATTAATTATTCCTTTGCACTTGAGCTTCTCTGTACTAGGGGATGCACATGCAGAGGGGAAAAACTGTGTTAATCAAATCATTAGTGACCCTGTTTCTGTAGGTGTTCAACACAGGACGTCTTTGTTAAAAAGCATAAGCTACAGGATCTGTGGTCTGTTTGTTGCAGACGGGTGGGGAAAAAGTCTGTTGCTAAAGCAAATTGACATGTAAGAGCAGATCTTTAACTAATTCTGGTTTAGTCACAATTCTAAAGGAGAGACCCAAGTCCAGAGGACAGAAAAAAGGTTCTGTGTGCATAGAGAAGGCTTACATGCTCCTAAATATTTGTGTATATCAGATCTATGGATGTTACTTTAAGTTACTTTACATTTAGGCTACTAAATGCAAAGGAGCAACTGGCTACAGTGAGGCACAAATGGCTTATATCTCTTGCTGGGTCTGTCCCAGTTGGGTAGTGCTTCTGCAGGGCTTCTGAATTTCTCCTAGTGCATCGCAGAAGCTTTTTTTTTCCTTTTCTTTTTTCCTTTTGCTGTCAATGGGGCCACCAAAGAGGGTGTGACCCTTTTATTCAGGAAGAGACATTTCCACCTTCATGTGGTTGATCCCTTATTTCTTCAACTTGCAAAGTATTTAGCAGTTTCTCAATGGTGTTTAGAAGATATTCTCCTTGGATATGGGATATGGTAGAAGGAACTGATCCTCTGCAGCAAGGGTTATTCTCAGACAGTTGGAGACAAATATCAAACTGCAAGCTTCACAGTAAAGGGCAAGCTTGAAGATGGCACACAGCCCCTTTAGGAGAATATTCTTAATTTTAAATCCAACCATAGATAGTTTTTGTATTTCTTCTCCAATGGTGAAACAATATTTGAATGGTTGAGGTTGGAAGGGACTTCTGGAGGTCATCTGCTCCAAGCATCCTGCTCAGTCAGAGGCGGTTGCACCAGACCATGTCCAGACAGGCTTTAGATATCTCCAAGGATGGAGAACAAAGTTATTTAGTAAGGAAAGACATTATTTTATTATCTTCGTATGTTGAATCATGCAGTAAAACTGTAGACATCTTTGTATACACCAGGTACTGTTCCACTACTGCATGATGTCGCAGTGCTGGAAGATGTTTTCTTTTAGGACAGCTTTGGTAGAATATATCTCCTCTATATAGTAGAAATAGCTTATTTTAGCCCCAGAGGTCTTTGCGTGGTTTCTGGAGTAGGTGTTGGAGTCATTGAGCATGTTGGAAGCTTGGCCTTAGTTAATTGGCAGGGGAAGGGTGCAAAGAAGAGAGAGTTGTACATTTGTTGTCATCACAAGGAAGAAACAAAGACCTCCCACCCCCAGGCTGGCAGAAGAAAATGCTGAAAGCAAAGTCTGTTGTCCTTGTGTCTATTGGGGTTTCTTGTATTTGTCCTCGTGTCTCCCTCAGTGCAGAGGTGGTCATTTCACAAATGGGGCACTGGGACAGTGTGTCCTAACAGACATTAGATGAGGTGCCAAGATGCAAAGACTGCATTTGTGTTCTTTGCTCTGCCCCTACTTGGAAAATCACTGCTCCTCATGACCTCTGCTTTTATGAGCTGTTTTAATTAAACCCTCCCAAGGAGCTTATTATCCTCATTATTCTGTACGCTCAGTAGGCTCAGTCATCTTTTGCCATTACTTTTCTGTTCTAGATACACCGAATTGACTTTAATGATTTTTAATGGTGAGACAAATTACTCCATCTTTATTGTTCAGATTAAATGGGTAATCTGGTATTGCCTAAGCAATGCCTGTCCAGGCCAAAGAACTTTGGAAATAAAGGAGGTTTCCCCTAGCTTTGGAATTGCATCTTGATTACCACATGCTTTTCAACAACATATTTTATTCATCCTCATTATTATTATTACCCTTGTATTTGCATTTTCATAATGCTGTCATGTAATTGTCAAGTTTTGTCCCAGAGATAGCTGCACCTTAGTGACAAGTGTGTCTGTTGGTCCTCCCAGTACAAAAAACACAGTGGATATCAAAGAAAAAAATGGATAACCTTCTTTTGTTTCCTTGTCATACGGTGACTATCAGAAGCAAGGAAGGCTGTTGTCTTCACACCCAAGCATGATTCTGAAGCACTGATGTTAATAAATCTTCCTTTGATTGTTGCTTGAAGTAAATATGCCAAGAGATGTGAGAATGGGTGGACTTGGCAAGATAGACTCATCATCTTTAGAGAGAGATTGTTTGCTATTATTATTCCCCCCCCCCAAGGGGCACAGCATCTTTGTGTCACCACTAACAGCTGCATTTAACCAGCCTTCCAAAAGGGGATCGTGGGCTGCTCTGAGTAGGACAGCATCTTAGCAGATGTCGAGAAAATTTTAAGAAGCTGTGCATCAAAAAGCATTAGGAAAGAAATGCATGTCTGGGACAATCTATATATATCTGAATGGCTATCTCTAGAAATAGGCCTATATCTATAGATAGCTGTGTATACAGATACACGCCTAAATAAGCACCCATGTGCATGTACACATACACATATATATGTCCACATATGTTTGTTTAGGTGTGTAGCTTCCTCGTTTTAGCCACTGTGGGATAATTATAATATTGACCAAAGTAGCATGCAGACAGCCCCTAAGAAGGTTTGTGTCTTGTGCTCCTTTTTCCTGAATCATGTAATGGATTATTGCACACAGAGCAGCAAGGAAACCACTTTCTGAAATTAGCAAATTATGCTAAAGCCATCAGAGCTGAGAGAATTAACAGCTCATAACTGCTCAGTGAGCAATTGCTCTCAGGCTGTTTTCTAAGGGAAAATTAACACTGCTGAAGGATGCTGGAGTGACAGCCCAGAAGATTGATGTCCTCTCGTCAGCCAGTGCAGCAGGTAGGCTGCAGCTAGCTTTTGGAGTGTGTTTCTCCCAGTACCTTGCAAGGTAGCATAAATCTTGCTACGAAGAACCATCTCTCAGACGCAGTCTGTAGAAGGCAAATGTTTGCAGAGCGTAGAAAGAAGTTTCATGGGAAAATGTCCTAGTAGCATGCCATGGGAAGATAAGATGGTTTTCTTTGGGCCGTTTTCCAAACTCTCATATTCTTCTTTTAAGATAACCCTTCACTGGTGCAGCAGAGACCATGAGAAATTCTGTTATTTCCCCAAAAAAATCTCCTTTCCCAAGAGCTGTGCGTGGACATCCCCCATCCCAATTGCACTCTGGCTCTACAGAAAGCCTCCTTGCATCTGAAGAGACAGGCTGAGAGCTGTGTTTCCCCAGCCCAGCACCCTGACTGAGCAGCTCTAAGCCATTTATTTTCTTTGCAGTGTTTAGAAAGAGACGGGAAGACAAGGGAAGGAAGGGGAACAGATTGGGCAGTGTTCACCCTTTGAGGAAGGTGGTGTGGTTAAACACCATCTGTTTGTCTGTCTGCTGTGTATGATGTCACTGAGCTGCTGAACATCAGTAGAGGGTATTCACTACTACCAATCACTCGATGGATCGTTGGGCACTGTATATAAACACGGTCACATATATACATATGTAATTATATAGATATGTTTGTTTTGTTCTGACACTTTTCCCTGGATTTCAGTTCCTGGAGGGAACAATAGGACATACATATGTTATGTGTAGGTATATTTATCTCTATCAAAACCCCCCCATGCTTTAGCAGGAGTCTATCACTATCTTACTTCTATCAGAAGTAATGGCATATTTTGCTCAGAAAGCAGAAATTCCTTTCATTTCCACCACCCCAAAAATAACACTGAAGCCAAACGCATCTTTTTAAAAGAAAAAATCAGACCAACTCATCCTGTTTTCAAGGATGGGCTTAAGAGTAAATGTGACATCTACTGAAATAATGAAGAAGAGGAATATGTTCCAGCAACTTGGGAGGTTAGCTAAGCTTGGAAACTGCCAACCCAGCAAAATGGACCATCCTAAGATCTAACCTCAGCCTACCAATCCCTTCTTCATCTGCTATTGCTTGTTTATGTTATGGTGGTTTTACTGCTCCCAGAGAAATCAGTGAGGTCTCAGGAATCCACTGCATACCAAACACAATAGGAAAGGCACAGCATGGCCCAGGGCTGCTTTATCTAAACTCCATTGTTCAAACCAAAATTCTTCTGTGCCTGACCTTGGCTCTTGGAACTCTCTGGGGTCCCTTTAGAAACCAATAGCTTAATGCATCCTCAGACTGATAGCATAAAATGCATTTATGCATTGTGTACTGAATTACAGAGATGAAACACCATCAAAAAGTCTTGTGCATTTGCATCACAAGAGATGGATAGATGTGATAGCGTGTGTAGTGTATTTTCACTCTTGCAAGAAAACCCTGATGTGCAATCCTCATTTCATGCCTATAAAGTATGCCTGATGGGTTCCTACAAATGCTAAAGCACTTTTTAATGTAGTGCTGCTGAAATTGTTTTACACCTAGAGCCTGCTGATAGAAACTGGTGTTTTGTTCCTACCTGTGAGACCCATTGTAGGGTACCTGCTTTAGCAGGGGGTTGGACTCAATGGTCTCAGCTGTCCCTTCCAAACTCTGTTATTCTGTTATTCTGTGATCTATGAAATCCATGCTCTTCAGGAGCAGTGTCTGGAGCCCTCATGGTATCTGACATAGCACCTCATAACTCGGCGTAGGCAGCTGAATCTGAAGACCTTTCTTTGTTGCC